ATAAATCGAAGAGGAATTTTTTTCAGATAAAATATTACTTATATAGATTCAAGAAAAGATAACCGAAAAAAAATAAACTCGGAAAGTAAAAGTCATCCTGATCTTCAAGCAAAGTAGACTCTCTCCATCATCATCATCATTAGCACTAAATTATATGACTATAAGTTGTTTTGCAATTAATAGAAAATCTGACTAATTAATCGATTAATTTGGGAATAATTCATGGTCCCCCTTTTCTTAGGATGATTCTAAGGTTACCCTTTTTCCTCTTTTGAGAAAGGGGGAAAGAAAGAAAGAAAGAAAGAAAGAAAGTGTTTTATATAGTGTGGGTTATGCATTGCATCATGAGACTAGCTAATGTGTTGCCTTAGTTGAATCCACGCATCTTCTTCGTCACTAATCATCTTTGAGAGGAGCCTTTTTTTATCAAGGGTGGCTATGATGAGCACGCAATTTGCCCTTTCCAAATTTCCTGCTTTTTTCCTTCTTTTTCTCAGCTAGCTAGCTGCTACCCAAACGATTCTGAATCATGACTTCACAATTCTGAATCATGACTTCACAATTCTACTTCTTCGTAATGGCTTATATTATTATCATGATGTGGATGAGAAGAATAAGGTTCAAAACAATAACATCACAAATCAAAACAAGACATGATAAGGCGGTTTCACATTTTAGGGCTGATATATGTCGGTTCGAACACATTTTTATGTGACCGGTAACGAAATATTGTTTCAGATTCAAGGATTAGGGTTAAGAATGGCTCAGATCCAGTCCTTAAACCTTATTGTTTAAAGAGATTCTTAAATCATTTCTATTGGCTAGTAATGGATTTGGTAGTTAATAGATAGTTGAGATTAAATGGGGTATTATTCATATAATTAATATTAATAATTAATCATTCTCTCTCTCCTCCCGTGACCTTCTCCATAACCTTCTCTCCACTACAATCAAAAAGAAATCCAAAATTAATTTTATAAATATTTGTACTTAATATTTAATAAAATTAGAATTCAATATTTTTCCTTTTTTAAATGGAAATTGAAAATTGAAAATATCTATTTTCTTTTGTTTCGTGGTAACTTGCAATGTAGTATTAAAGTTTTACAATGATATTATCAATTTTTATTAAATGAATCATTATTAGTATACCTCATCATTATTAAAGATTTCAAAAACTTATCAGTGTTTTAAAATTATATTATTAACAATTTTAGATAAATTGTTAACTATTTTTATCTTTTTATCTACACGTATGAATGAATGATTAAATTTATGCAACATTCATATTAATTATTTGAATAACACTATCATTGATCTACACGATCTTTACTAACAGTTTACGTTTTCACTTCATGTTCATAACTAGCCAATTATGGCCTCTTACAATGACTTCCAATTACATTATCAACGTGTATGAAATGAACTGTTATTTATATATCCATCATTATTAACGATTTTTATATACTTAGCAATGTTTTAATTTATAAGAGTTTACAACGAAATGTTGATACTGACACTCTCAATTATTAACAACTAAGATCTGTTGGAGTTGATAATACAAGCAAAATCATTGATAATGATTGTATCTAAATAGGTAATACCCATAGTACATGTTATTAACAACTCTTTTCTTGAAACGTTGATAACGATATGAAATTATTAATGGCAAGGCTATGTTACGTTTAAAAATTAAAATGCAAACAAAATCATTGTTGATGATCAGATCTAATGGTCGTGAGTCATACTACACATTATTAATAATTATTTCTCAAACATTGATACGCTTATATCCACCAGTTAATAATGACACGAAGTATGATACTAATTATCAGAAAAACATTAATATCCCGAAAGTCATTAACAATACCTATATAAAAGAATGTTAACATCGTTGTTGTAAACCGTTCATTATCAATGTAACTGTTTTAACAATCAACTATAAAAGATTAATATTCACAGTCACGTTTTCTATGTAACTGTATTAACAATCAACTATGAAAGATTAATAATCACAATACTATGTAAGGTACCGTTGCTTCAACGTATTATCAACATTTTTGGATAATTTTTTATCGATTAATCATATTGTTATCAACAATGATACATGGTATTATAAATGATAGAAAACATAATTATTATCACTTTCAATATAATATTCGGCCTTTTATTATATCATTATTGACGATTTCTCATCGTTTTTCAATGAAAACTTTGAGATGTAAACGTGGTAAGTTAAATCGAAAACAATTGGTCCCATAACCATTAATAATTCAATTGTCGGTCACTGTAAAATGCAAAAGATATGGTTAAAGATATGCATTCACGTGAACAATGAAACATAGTACTGTATTCGTTAAAAACTAAAACAAAAAATGCTAATCATTGATTTTAGGCAAAATACACTTGTGTAGCCAAAACTTTCACGTTTATGCCACTTATAGCCACTTTTGGCGAAATAGCACTTATAGCCACTTCCGTCCAATTTTGTAACGATGTTAGCGTTAAGTTTGACTAGACACACGGAGACGCTGACGTGGCAAGCTCTTATCTCCAATTTTGTCTGTAAATATCCCCGTGGATTTGCGGAAATGTTCTCATTTTCTTATAATTAACTGAAAAAAATGAAAAAATACAAATAATAAAAAAGAAGACACTCTCTTCTTCGCGAACAGGCAAATAGATTCGGCCTTCCTTCCTCCGCCGATCTCTCTAGATATGTCTCCACCTTCTTCTGCGTACCCTTCTCCTCCTCGGGCGCGCAAAAGCGAAGACAACTACGTTCTTCTCCGCGAACAGTCAACCATTCCGGCCCTCCTTCCTCCGCCGATCTCTCCGGATCCGTCTCCCGCTTCTCCTCCGTACCACAAATTTGAAACATCGGTGCCGCTCTTACTTAGCTATCTTTGACTTTCTATCACCACCAATCCGCCACACAAGTCATCCCTGCCCTGTTGCTGCCAGATCCTGAATCAGTAACATGATTAGTAAGACTTGTTCTCAATGGTTGGGTTTCTATTTGGGGCGGGAGTGGGAGCACAAATATCAATAGACGATTGAGATACCAAGTTGGAATAGATTGTTGCAAGTAAATAATAACTATGCTGTGAGTTTGCTCTGGGAAGTTTACGGAAAGATACCCTATGCCAGATCCCGAGATCTCTTCAACTACTTCCCTGGCCAGATTTTGCGATGAAGAAAAGACAAAGGTTGAGCTGCTGGAGTGCTCGGCATATTGGGGATGAAGGTAAAACTCTGTCTATTTTCTGCTATCACATATCGTCAATTGGAGTTCTGGGTTTCCTCTTCAAATTATATGATTAGGGAAGTAGGTGAAGAATCAACATTGGAGTTATGGGCTCTTCTTCGTCCATTTGGGTTGTAGGTTTTTTAGTTTGGATTCTTCTTCATCTCTCTTATTCTGGCTTTGGGGGTTTTCTTCTTTGCTTATTTGGGTTTGAAGGTTTACGGATTTGGTAGGTGAATGGATAAATCCCCAAATTCAGGGAAAGTAATTAATAACCGTCGTCGATGGTGGGAGGTTGGAGTGGAGGAACGGAGAGGACGAGACGGGATACTCGGCGGACTCGGGTGGGTTGAACTGCTGTCGGAACTGGGAAAGACGACGGAGTTGCGGAAGATCAAAGATGGGTCGTCCGAAGCAGATGGGGAATATGATGGAATTTTTTTAATTTATTATGTGTAAATATTAAATAATTAAAATATCTGACGTGTCACTATTTGTTTATTTAGAGGTGATGTGTCGGCTGAGTTGGCTTCTAGTCAGTCAACCGTCAAATAAGTTGACGGTGTCAATAACATCGTTAAAGTTGGTAACGGAAATGGCTATATTTGGCACAAAAGTTTCAAAATACTGGCTATAAGTGGTATTTCTCCAAATTTGGTTATTATTGGCATAAACGTGAAAGTTTTGTCATACAAGTGTATTTTGCTTTGATATTAACACCAAACACAAAACCATCATTCCGAAACAATACATGGATGTGAACAATAGAACTGAATTACTTAGCATGGGCCATGCTGCCTTACGAGCAGTGTTGTCACGTGGGTGGAATTCCAGCCGGTTCAACCCGTGCCGGTCACCAACCGGTTGGAAAGGGGTCGATATTTAGTCATGGTCAATATCAGTTAAATTCGTTCGATAAGATAATTCCAACCGGTTGAACCAAAAATCGAAATTCATTATTTTTACACATGATATCTAAAAATAAACACCATTCATTGGATTTGATTCAAGTATCTCATATTCATTAGTTTCATTTTATACAGCAATAGGCTACAAGAAACTTTGTTGTACATATAAACCGATGCGGCTTGGAGTGGCGATCCCTGCTCGGAGGGAAGAAAATGCTCGACCGGTGAATGGAATAATGGATCGGGGATTGGAGGCAATATGGACCCCGGTCAGTGGGCTTAAATCCTCAACCAAGGATTGTGACGGGGTTTCAGGATGGTCGAGTTCGGCCTTCCTTTTCGGTGTAGGATTTTGTTTCTTTTCGGGTTTCTTGTTATTTTATTTGCCCTGGACTATATAAAGGGATTGAGACACGAATTTTGAGTTATTTTTTGTAGAATATTGAATTTTCTGGGTTCTTTCCGCTTTAGGCTTGAGACTTTTCTCTGTATTAATCAAGTTTTCCTCTTGATTGTAGTTGAGATTCTACATGTCATATTGTTAGAGCCTTCTCCCGTTTTTGTGATGAGATTTTACTTTCAATTCCATCCTATCACAAAACATATAACCCTAAAAAATCTCGTTCTTGAAGTTGTGTTACTTTAATAACTACAGGTACCGGATTCGTGCTCGTATTAAGTGGTATCAGAGCCCCGGCTCAACACAGTGGTGAGATCGAAGATGAGCCAGTTTCGTCACGTAAAAGGTCCAAAGATCCCATCGCACACCTTAGATCAAAAGAGGATTCTTTGTTGGAGGAATAAATATCATCCGAAGAACCAACCATTGCGAACAACAGGTAAACATGACCGAGATCCTTCAGACACTCACTGTTCATCTAAATGTGGTGTTCCAGACCTTATTCGACCATATCAACAGGAGTTTGGATGCTCTTTCGCTGCCAGCAGCAAGACTCCGTCTGATTCCGGAGGAGATCGATAGCAGGGTGTTCCAGCTGGAATCGACCAAACGCTGGATGAAATACTTTGCAACCTGGAGCCGAGATTGATCGTAACAGAGCCCAATAGAGTGCGTGAAGAACACAAAATTCGTGATTGTGGAGGAAGACCACTAGAGGCAGGACGCGAAGGTACTATTGCTAAATTACGAGGGATCAAGCTTTTAGTTCCTTTGTTTCAAGGATCTCTCAATGCTTCTACATACCTGGATCATGAGAGGAAGATCATCTTGTTCTTCCAATGTGGCAACTACAGCGAGCAACAAAAGGTATCACTAGCCACATATGAATTTACTGATTATGCAATCGTATGGTGGGAGAAGGTATATCTCAAGAGAAGAAAGAATATCCAGCCGAATATGACAACTTGGGCTGAATTAAGAGGGCTCATGAGAGCGATAAAAAGGGGGGGTCCATGCCAAGGTACTATCAAAGAGAATTATTTGATTCCTTGTAGGGAATACGGCAAGGAGCACGATCTGTTGAGGAGTATTTCAATGAACTTGAACTGCTCTTGATGAGGGAAGATGTGAGGGAGGACAAGGAAGCAACAATTGCTCACTTATTACATGCCGCAACATAGAGATTAGGCACAAAGTTGAGTTTCGTCCTATCGTGGAGCTGGAGGAAGTGGTTCACCTAGACATTAAGGTGAAGAAGCATTTGAGGGTCAACTCGAGAAGAAGGTACCCACCTTCACCCAAATCTTTTGCAGAGTGCATTCCTGAGACTACTATGAATCGTCCTATGCAAGAAGGTGACAAGCCAACTGCTAGGAACACGAACCATTCATCCAGGCCAAAAATGAAGGATCAACTTGAAGCATCCAATGGTTCATGTGCTTGGGACGAGGTCAGAAGGCAAACCAGTGCCCCAACAAGAAGGCTCTGATCTTGCGAGATGACGACTAATTTTCTGAGGAGTATGAGGAGAAGTCCATGGGAAAGAATTCGCTTATGATTCTGAAGATGTTGATGAGCACATCACTGTTGAAGCTCCTCCGACAGGTAAACTTCTTAGAGTAAACCGCAGAGCTCTATCTATTGAAACTTATACAAAGACAGAGTAGAGGGATAATCTTTTACACTCCCGTTGCTTGGTGGACGGGAAAGTGATATATGTGGTCATTAATGGTGGGAGTTGCGCCAATGCAGTTAGTTTTTATGCAGTCAAGAAGTTGGGATTGAGCACCATCAAGAATCCTCAGCCCTACACTCTACATTGGCTGAACGACTATGAAGCTATCAAAGTCAATAAGAAAGCCATGGTTTGTTTTCAGATCGGTGATTATGCAAATGAATTTGGTGTGATGTTGCTCCAATGCATGCTTCTCATATCTTATTGGGTCATCCATGATAATAAGACCGGGAGGTTATTCATGATGGTACACATAATAGCTACTAGTTCAAGAAAGGAGATCAGAAGTTTCTATTGAATCCATTGTCATCACCTGAATCCGAGAAGATCAACAACAGTTGGCAATGAACTGGGTCAAGGAGAAGGTGAGTGCAAGTGGCTCGAAGTCAGAAGACGGAAGTGGAACTCATCTTTTGGCTCGAGGCCACATGTTGACTACGCTAAGGAGAATTCTATTTGAAAATTTTGTTGATGTTGTCTCTTGCAAGAAAATACAAGTTGTGAGGGCAAAACTTCTCCAACAGGGAGGGACTGATGCGGCTTGGAGTGGAGACCCCCGGCCGGATAGAAGAAAATCCCCGACCGGGAAATGGAATAATATATCGGGGATTTGAGGAAGGTGGGGCACTGGTTAGTGGGATTAAATCCCCGACTGGGGATTGTGGCCGAGTTTGGTCTTCCTTTCGGTGTAGGATTTTTTTTTCGGGTTTTGATTATTTTATTTTCCCTAAACTAGATTCAAATAAAAACAAGATTCAAATAGGCTTCAGCTTCAGTAAAGTTCCATACCCACATAAAACAATCAAGCAGCGGGAGAGTGAATAAGAAGTAAGGTTCTATTTCCTAAGCATAACCCCAAATAGTTAATCTAATCCTCTAGCCAAAAGCTCGTCCACCATTTCAGTAAAACAGAAGCTTACCAACACAAAGATATATCAAAATAGAAGACATGCTTGATACGCACCTGCCAATCACGCTGCAACAGGCGCCTCAACTCCGAATACCACCATAAAATGTGGGTGAGAGGTAGCAGCCGACTCAAGCAGATGAATTGTCATCTTGGAGTCCGTCTGGAGGATTGCCTTCTGAATATTGTCGCCTCCTAGATTTATAGTGAGAGCCTGCTTGAAGTGTCCTCTGTCATGTCGAATACTGTCGCCCGAGGACAATGGAACCATCAGTGTTTATACTCGCCCAGCCCTCCGGTGGAGCTCTCCAGGATATCATCCGGCGGAAGAGGACTCCTTAAAATTATTTAGATTTAAGTTTTTTTATATTACAAATATTTAGGTTAATTTTTAATTAAGATAATTTTTAAATTAATTATAATTTCCTAAATACCCTTAATAACTTTTTTTAACAAAAGATAATCATATTGATTGAAAAGATCACAAGTTACATCCTAGACCCAATCCGGGCACGAAAATCATACAACCGACACGAGACCGAAGACAAATACAGGGCCTTTCTAACTACAGAATGAGCTACCCTATTGCTATTCCCTTAATAACTACTTTGCCACTAACTCCCTAATAATTAACTAAAACTCTAGTAGTCAATAAGAAGGCTTTAAGATTCTCCTTAAACAATGAGGATTGAGGACAGGACATAACTGGGGCAGCGTGTATAAGTGTTCGATGGATGTAGGCAGCGGCGGATCTAGGGGGCCGCCCCCGGACCATGGCCCAGCCCTCTCTGGATCCAAAACTAGTATAGTACTTGTAAATTTCCGACTTTGGGTATATATTTCAATGTTTATAGGGTTACAGCTCAGTCCTCTTCATCGCTTTTTAAATGTGGTCCAGTGCTCTAACCTATTCTGGATCCGCCGCTGGACTAGACATTTTTTAAATGTGGTACACTGATTTATGCGGAACATCGATCTTAAAATTTTACCTAGCCCATTTTTTCACTCCATTATCAATTCGTTAAGGAACGCACCGTTAGTACTCTCATTTTTTTTTTTTTTATGAAATCATAGATTCCTACTTTCGTTTTCATTTCAAAAGCTGTCAGAAGAATGAGATGGGAGAAAAACTTTCAGTAGGATTGAAGAATAATTGGTCATTCACGTATACCACAACAATTGGTGTAGTAGAATCAAGTTTCTTGTCACGTTAGGTGACAAGAACACCTAATTCACGCATTTTTTCATTTATTCACGCCATATTTTCGTTATTCACGCCATATTGACATTGTTCACGTAAGAGTGTTGCTAATTCACGCAACCGATATTGTTTAGTCACGCAACCTGGTGTCAATTCACGCATATTGTTATTTATTCACGCCATTTTAAAATTAAATTTTAGACGTTAAAATATATCAAAATGGATGTCATTGTGTAGATTATGATCAATGCAACATATTTTTACAGACTAATTGAGAATCCAAATTTAATTCCATAAAATATAGCCAATACAAATTATTAGGGGGAAAAAGTCTGAATTTTCATTTACGTGAATAACTTAGACTCTTACGTGAATAAACATAGTATTACGTGAATACACACAAAATGGCGTGAATGAGTACAAAAATACGTGAATAAATTGACATTAGGTGTTTTGTCACCTAACGTGACAAGAGATGTTTTCCGGTGTAGTAATCTTAGTGACGAATTAAGAAATCTAAGCAAAGAGGTTAAAAAAGAATGAAGTTCTAGAAATTTAAACCCTAGTAAACGACCGGGAAAAAGCTCGTGGCTCCCCGGTCACAATGCAACCCTACCAGTACTGTTAGAAGCATGAGAAATTGAAATTTGGATTAGGTATAATGGGAATTCCTACACCTCATATATAAACAAAACAATCTCCTGTCCTCAAACCCCATAAGACCACATATATATGTTGAAGAAGTAGATATATGGGACAAGGACATCTAAATGGTGACAGACATCAAACATATGTTTTCTTCACTCTAAAAGACCGCACCTAGGCCATTCAAGCTTCGGCTTCGAAGCCAAAAGAAGAACGTATTAATTACTCTCTGAATTTGTTTGTTTTTCCAACCCTTATTGTTTGACTTTTCCATATCCTTGTCTAGATTCATTCTTTTGGTTGGGGGGGAAAGCCTAACCCCAGTCAAACTAAAGTGCATGTAAACGTCAAAGTGAACATATGATCGTGAAAGTCCAAATTGCTACACGATGTATGCTACTCGATATCTCGTGGTTTCGCCAAAAAAGGGAAACAGCAAATACAAACATGTCCTTGTCCTTAATGCCTAACCAAATCACACATGCGTAAGGAAGAGAAGCAACGAGGAACGGAAGCTCTGGATATTTCGTCAAGTAGAGCTCAGCACGACGTTGCTGAAGCCAAGTGTGCAGTTGCCGGTGGAAAATTGAGATTCACGCAATCCAAAGTAGATTATAGAGCATGAACCAAAAACTTATAGTAGCAGCGGTTAATTAAGTTCAGGCAATAAGGCATTATTTAATTTTCACGATAATATCCTCTTTTTCCCCTTAGATCACACTCTTTCTGAGAGCAAAAAAAATTTAGATACAGACTTGAAACAAGTTAACGACTTCTAATTCAAGAAGTGAAATCAAATTCCATAAATATTTTGGGTCAAAGGTCTGACATGCCTACGAATAACATGGAAGATAATTATTTATAAGCAAAGGAAATATCTAGTAATGCAGTTACACATTTATTGGCAAAAGCATCTAACCATTCATTCTAATGGGTCGTTTGGACGTGGGATTGAGTCTAAATTTCATATGTATATCATTTAACTCGAAAAATCATGTCCGACTTGATAAAAAATAATACGAGAATTCGAATGTGAGGTTCGGATTTGAAATCTACCTTAAAATATCCTCATATTTGATGAAAATTGAAGAATCCCACGAATGCAAGATACAATTATACTTACACAACCCAACAAAAGCACTACTAGTATTTAACTAATCT